CCCACTTCCTGTCCCAGTGACCACACAGGAAGTAAAGAAAATCTCCCCAGCGGGGACACAGACGGCAGTATAAACCAGCGGAGGTCCTGACTCCTCCCCCTTCTGCTTTATTACTTTCTGTGTTCCTGTTGTAGAGGTTTCGTTCACTTCCTGTCTCGGTGACACCAGTCAGGAAGTGGTTCAGGGGTATTACAAGGAAAGGAAGTGAATGGCGGGCAGTTGTCACATTGTATCTCCTCTTCTAGAGCCGATCCCTCGCCTGTCACATTGTATCTCCTCTTCTAGAGCCGATCCCTCGCCTGTCACATTGTATCTCCTCTTCTAGAGCCGATCCCTCGTCTGTGTCACATTGTATCCCCTCTTCTAGAGCCGATCCCTCGTCTGTCACATTGTATCCCCTCTTCTAGAGCCGATCCCCCGTCTGTGTAGATTTGTGACGCTGAATGTTTTTGTTTTGCAGAAGTTTTTTGAGATCCAGAAAATCCCGCCACGGATCGGCTACTAAAATGTGAGCGCGGCTCGTCTTGGGCCCCTCCCCCACCCAGAAGTCTCAGGGAAGAATGGATCGGAATAAGCGTAACTCGATCGCCGGCTTCCCCCCGCGCTTGGAGCGGATGGATGACGGCGCCGGGGGGGATGGGCAGCTCGGGAGGGTCTACTCCTCGTCATACCGCGCCCTGATCAACGCCTTCTCCTGCCTCACGCGGCTCGACGACTTCACCTGCGAGAAGATCGGCTCCGGGTTCTTCTCCGAGGTGTTCAAGGTAATTCCGGATCGTTATCCTGGCGGCATCCTGCGGGGTGACGTCTGCCGATCATTGGACGCCGCGCGAGACTCACTCTAAAAAGCTCCTCTGTACAGAGACTGATGTGACTGTGGGGGGGAGGGGACATTAGAGTGTAAGCTCCTCTGTACAGAGACTGATGTGACTGCGGGGGGAGGGGACATTAGAGTGTAAGCTCCTCTGGCTCAGTGCTCTCCCCCAGCCTGACTGTCTCTAGCTCCGCCCCTTTGATTCATCGGATTTCAGTTCTGTCAATCATGGAGGCTCAGTATGTGGGCGTTACCTAGGGGGCGGTCTGTATGCAAATACAGACTGCTTAGCAACACCCACTCTTTCAGACTGACCCCACCCATCCAGGCAGTTGGATATTTGCATAACTCCTCCCCAGAGCCGGCCTATTGTTTGCATCACCCAGTGATGTCTAAAATAAATATGTAATGACAATATGAAATGTTTTATGTAAAGATGTCCCCCTGATGG